CATAGGTGTTAGAGTTGTTTTGCTAATTCCAGGTTGTTCAGACTGAGGGGGAAAAAAAAAGTAGAGAAGGACAGCTTTGTTTTCATTCGGGCTGTTATCAGCAGAAGCCGACTGCACCGAGAATAGGAAGGGATGATTTCCATAAAGACTGGCTGTTGTCTGAAAGCAAGCAGCTGTCAGGCGGAATTACCTCTCCGACACAGACACCACAATCGAGGGTGCCCTTCCCATAATTCAGTCTGATTGGCTCAAGGGGAAAATGGCAGCCTGTGGAGAGTGAGGCCAGCGGCTGGTTGACAGGTTTGCATCTGCGAAGCTAGACGCGCCATTTACCTGTTATCATACTGTCTGCTCAACGTGTCACTTTTCTCAGCTCGGAAAGCTATCCGAACAAAGTGACACAGAGAATAAAGTCCACAGTCTGAGGAGGCAAATACGTGCCTGCACTCGATACGTCTCTCTCTCGCATGCGCGCACACACACACACACACACACAAGATGTAGGACAAATAATTAGTGCAACAATAATTTACATTCTCTTGTAACAAGTTCTCTTGTAATTCATTATTGATATACTGTCTTACAATTGACAAAGTTTTTATTAAATGCATTAATTATAATTTTTACATACCATTTGCCTATTCAACATTTAAATGATTGCACAGTTGTCAGAGCAAAGCTTGTTGTAAACGTAGATGTCTTAATCATAGGTGTCATTTACACCGCGGAGGATGGGCACATGTCTCCACCACTTTTTGAATGCCTGATTTTGTCCCCACCTCTTTTTTAAAATATAATATAAATGTAAAAAAAATGTTCTGAAATATAGCTTGCAGTTAAACAACAAATGACCATGCCTTTAGAAAGGTTGATTTTTAAGAAACACATTAAGAAAACATGCACTGTAATTAAAATATAGAAACAAATGTGCATTGTCCAAAAAAAGTAACAAATGCTAAAAAACAAAAACAAGCTACTGTTTATAAAATAACCCAAAAACGTGCAGGCATCAATCAGTAATTTTAACAACTTCTTGACACATTTTTTATCGGCCAAGTTTTCCGTTCTCTCTCTTTGAACATAACAAAAGAGGAGGGAAGACTAAATCACGCCTACATATGTGTTGCCTCAGCAGGGATGATATTATTTGACTTAGATTCTATTATATTTATACATTTTGAAATGTCACGTGCTACCTGAATTTTGTGTTTTCTTTTACATATAGAAAAACCATTTCCACCACAAATTCATGCAGAAACTTTCACCAGAATGCAGGAAATAAAGTGATCATATATCTCAGCATGGAGGACATCTTTAAAACACTGTTTAAGGATCTTTTCGTCTCGTTCTCGTGAGCCCAATATCGTGTATTGTGATGTCTCGCGAGACAAGTGTCTCTTCACACCCCTAATCTGAGCCCCTATGTCCCCACCACTTTTCAACACAAAGTGACGCCCTTGATCTTAATCTATAGGTCCGCCTTGCATAGCAGACCAAATAGCTGCTTATTTTGAACCATGATTGTTTAAAATAACTGACATTTTGGTAAAAACACTTGATGTGAGAAGATACCACTCTCATATCTTTGCTGAGCTGGAGCTGAAAGATGATTTACTTAGCTTAGTTTAGCATAAAGACTATAAAGAGGAGGAAACAGCTAACCTGGTTCTATCCAAAGTTAAAAAAATACACCTAACAGGGTCTAATAAACACATTCTGTCATTGTTTAATCTTGCTTAATTTGTAGAGTTATTTTTGAACTTTAGACAGAGCCAGGCTAGCTGTTTCCCACTGCTTCCAGTCATTATGCTAAGCTAGGCTAATAACCTTCTGACTCTAGCTTCATATTTAAACAATATACTGTATATACAAACATTTAAGTAATATCAATCCTCTCATCCAACTCTTTGTAAGAAGGCGATTAAGCATATCTCCCAAAATGTCCATCATTCTTTTTAATGTAGGTCTAGGCAACATAAATAAAATAAAAAATTACTTATAATTATGAAACTGATGTTGTACATTAAATCAGAAATCAAAAATGAATGTTTATTCATAAGCTGAAATATAAACATTTGCACAGACATCTGGATTTTTACACAGTAAGATAAGCAGGTGGCCTATATAAAAATATGTGATTAATTTGGTTGTGTGAATGTACACAAAAATAACAGAATGTTATGTGCATACAAGCATGCACATTACCATTTATGCACAAACAAACACGCACTTGGGAGAACTTTGCCCTCATGGATTTTTGCCTTAAAGCCTTACTATTTGGTTAGGTTTAGTCACCGAAAGTGCTTGATTAGGTATAGGACAAAAGAAAGCCTTTCTGGCAGAAAGCCCTGAAGGCAAACATCTCCCACGTGCCACAAACATACACATACACACCGTCAAGTTCACGCACAAACTTGCACTCACACATATGAACTCAAATACACACGCATACACACACACACTCTCCACACCTATGCTAAGTGCTCTTATCTGTGACTTGTGTAGAGGTGAGTGACAGGAAGGGAGGCACAGTGGGAAGTGTCCTTTAGGTGTCTTAATTATGGCTCCTCTCCTCCCTCTTGCTGTCACCATCCCCAGGGGAGGACAAGACAAAAGGGAGGCAATGTTTCATCTCTGCTGCCTTGGTATTTCAAATTCCAAGGGGAGTAAGAAGAGAGAGACAGCAGGCTGCTATATTGGAGGAAGAAGAAGAAATCAAGTGATGCTTCCCTTTTTCTCTCTTTATGCCTCCTTTGCAGCTGTGTTTAAAATAAGGCACCTTAATAAAAACGTTTTAATGACGTCAAGGCAAGAAAAAAGGCACAACATGATTACTCTGACGGTTTTATTTAATGAGCTCAAAGCCTCTGGCTCTGACTTGCAATTCGTTTATTACTTTGTTGTGGAGAGATATAAGTGACAAAATGGAGCAGAGGGAGTTAGAGAACGAGGCTGAATGCGCTTATTGTGGAAGTCGTCTGTGGCGTTACCAATCGTCATTGTGATTTACACCTTCCTCAATGCACACCTGGGATTTTCATCAGGTCTTGCCAGAGGAATGCTGCTCCACTATGAGAGAGCGGAGGGTGTCAGAGACACCTTGGCAGGTAGGCAGACACAAAGACAGCCTGCTGTTAATTATTGATGGGAATAAATTGCACTCATTGGATGTTGAGCAGGGGAGCACATGGTGGATGTGAATACAAATGTGTTTATGAGTGTGTGTAGTGAGGAAAAAGAGATGGCAATAGAAAACAGCATTAAGCAAAAGAGAAGGGGTTTAGAGCGAATGAAGAGGAGGTGAGGTGGAGGAGGAGGAGCCGATAAGAGTGATGGTAGTGATACCTGGTAAAGAGACATTAGAGGGATGCAGAGGGAGTCTATAAAAGCAAACTACTCCTTAATGTCTCTCACAAGTGTGATAAAAGCACAGAGCTGCAGCACAGAATGCTGGCCTTTCCATTTGTGTGAACAGAACAAGGACACATTCAAAAACAAACTATTATACACAAATGCTAATAGAAAATGATTTTGTGAATGTGCTCACACACACACATATGCAAACAAACATTCTTAAAAAGGTCAGCTCTTTTGTTTTGGGACACAAGACCTCTCTCATGAAAATATTGACCGAGAAAAGGGGAGCAATGTAAAGTGTGGTCTTAAAATGAGATGGGCAAAGAGCATGGCGTCTTATCTGTATTCTGAGAGCTGGCCCTCTTATAAATATTGGAAGAAGGACACTGGTGGGAAGGGGAAACGGCCAAATGGTGTATTTGAGAAATGGCACACCTGAGCACCGCACAGAATATCATCTCCTCCTGTCAGATCTCATCCCATTTGATCAAAATAATTGCCACCTTCATCGTAATCATCAATTCTGTCATCTTCACTGGCGCCACTGCCATTCTCCATCTCATCAGGGCTTCTTTGGCCTCACGGGGGGGGATTTCTGGATCAGATCAAATGCGGACCATCACGTCTGAGAAAATCACTCATAGTGTACCCTTATAGTAATCACCATATTCATTGCTTTAATGCAACTGACATTTTGTTCACCTATTTAGATATTCTGACACCAGCAAATCTTTGGCTGGTTCAAAAATAGCCTGGTTTAGCCATGCAGGCTCGTCTATCATAAATGTCCAGCGAGAGGGCCCTGCTGTACGTTAGTCTATATTGATTCTCTGTACAGCCAGCAAGAAAAGAAAAAAATGTAGAAAAGATGAATGAGAAAAAGACTGACAGACAGCCCAATATGTAAGAATCAACATTCATTTGAAATGTTTCTATAGGTAGATTCTAAGGTTAAATGGTGAATAGGTACATACCCTACTAGTGTGTTTTTCCTCTAAGCCATACCGCTCCATGTGTGTCTGTCAACCTGGCTCCATTGCGCAACTCACTGGGGCCCTATTTGTACCAATGAAACAGTTCGTCTCATCTGCTTCTACTTTAGCAGGCTAATAACACTGCACAACATAGGACAAGCGGCTGGTCAAACTTCAATTACAGCAGGGCCAGCTTACATGGTGACAACCAAGTTAGTTTGCTGGGAATAATGCAACGCAAACACACTTTCACACAAAACCACTTGAAACAAGGGACCCACACATGTACAAGCAAAGTCTTGATACTGGATTTTATGAGACTACAGCTTTGCACTAAGTCACAAAGTGTCCGTAAGATAAAGCAGACCTACATGCACCACAGTCACCTCCCAAACTTTATATAACGATGTACAAATGCAGTTAAAAGCCCACATTTGAGAGTCTTCTTATATTAGAGGGAAGAAGTTTGACATTAAACAGCAAAGCACTGGAAAATGACTTTCCATAAAACTGTGTTTATGGACAATACCAGTTTTCAGATCCATCAACATCTATTAAGTGTGTTAAGTGTACGATATTAAATCCCTTGAGGGAACTGAATGTGAAACGTGCTAATGATAATGCAAGAGGATGTGGAAATGCTAACTTAAAGACTTAAACACTGCTTACCTTGGCCATTTGGGCCTGCACCCCGGTGGCTTTGAGAGACGACACGGCCTTCTGTGCTGCAGCTGGGCTGTCAAAATCCACAAAGCCATAGCCTGGAGAGAGAAAAGAAGAGAGGGAGAGAGAGAGGAGAGGAAAAGAAAAAAAAGACAGGCTTTAGTAAAGAAAAAATGAAGGCAGATGACTAACAAGGGGACTGACAGACACTTGGTAATTGTAGCAGTAATAGGTTGGTAACATGACTACAGAGGCTGCCAGTTCTCATATCTGGTGAGCACTACATTGTTTGATAATTAGCGACACTGACGTTCATATGGGGATGCTATGCATCTTAATTAGTAGCATGGATGAGCGATTTAGTAATAACAAACCCTAGCACCCTGCCCACCTGCCCCTCCACGCACACACACAAACTGACACATGTATGCAAACACACCCAAACAAAAACACACAAGCACTGAGTGCGTGCAAATCAAGAATGCAGAATCACTGTTGCAATTCTGCTGTTGAAGAGAAATTCTTAACTATAGTTTAATGATGACTAACATGCATCAACTTCACCAAGTAGAATAATTCATGTAATGGTAATTTATGAAGTCCATAATTAAAGAAATAGTACACACATGTGCACAGTAACATACACAGAGAGGTGTATCAATTAATTCTTCAGATCATCACAGAGTCATTTTCAGTTTTCACTATTTCAGCCTTGATTTCCAGAGACTATGAAGTTGGCACACATCATGTTCCTCAACACCAAGCATTTTAACACAACCCCATTTCACAGCCTCCATAATCCTCTCCCCGGTAACAAATCTCTCAAAGGTTGACAGCACACCAGAGATGCTGCCATTTCTCCCTCTTTCTTCATTTCTGTCTCTCTTACATCCACATAAACACACAATTGTATCTCACAAATGTAGCCTTTCTGTCCATCTTACTGCCTTCCTCTGTTCCTCTCTGTCTCGAACACCGCCCCTCCCCCCGCTCATATTTTTCCTGACATTAACAGCCACCAGGCCCCATCTGGAAATTCATCACCAGAGGAAAGCAGAAAGTATGAAATCTGCAGCTGTGATTTATGAGTTATTGTGATCCTGACGTTCTCCGGGATGTATCGGAGGCGGGGGTCACGTCTGTGTTAATTAAAATTTGGTGGCAGATTAAAAGCAGTCAATGGTGCCCTCTGATCCACTGTTTCAGAAGGAAAGTATAATTAGAAAAAGATAATGGGTGTTAGATGGGGGGAGACTTGCCACGGTGGTTACCATCATGTTTCAAACAATCATACACTGACATGCATATGAGCGCACACATACACAAAAACACGGCACACCTTACTTTCTCACCATGCGTCGCCTGTGCACAGTTTGCCTCATACAAACAGCAAACAACTCTCTATGTAATACAGCCGAGGTATGTCTATCTGTGGTGGTGGTGGCGGCGAAGGCGGTGGTAGTGAGGGGTTGGGGGTTTGGGTCATTTTCCTGTCGGATGGCGGTGAAGGAGTGTGGAGTAATGTGAAAATCATAACCTGTGGCGGAAGAAAAATCGAGTGCGAGGACTGATTAATGGCCAGCTGTTAGAGTGGGGCTGGGAGGGGTGGGTCTTTAATTGTGGAAATTTGAAGAGCCAGAGTGAAAGGCCCAGATTCTAATACAAGGGACGGCCAGAGTAAAAAAAAGTAAATGCTATCAACAATTAAAGCGGCTGCAAGTAGACAGCGCATCCAACCATTTTATCACATTAGTAAACCCAGAAATGTGGAAATTTGCAGTAGTTAGAAACAAGAAAGCAAAGCTTGACAGTTGACATAAAAACACCTTATAAAAACCTTTTTATTCAAAGCGGTTCAACCAAATAACAAAAAAACATACTTTTCTTTTTCCTTCAGTAGTGTCCTGCCATGCAGACAGGACTCTCTTTAGCCAGGTTTTGTGACATATATGTGAGATTCCTGCCTCCCCCCAAATACAGTGGAGCTGAACTGAATTTTGGCTTTAATAAAACTGACAGCAATGTGTCTTTTCAGAGACAGTCTCCCCGTTACTGTGGAAGGTCCACGGACCACGCTGTGAACAGTTCTCATGGGACTACAGATGGTTGACAAACTACTAACATCAAGTGTCTTTGAAAGGTGCAACCACAAACTAGCATCACAGCTTCAGTGTACCTTGGCATAGACTGTACAGTCTTTGGAACTCTACTGAATGGATGAACACCATTCTTCCAAAATATATTTCTTCTTTTGGTGTTTTGCTGATGGTGGAGGAGAGTGCTGTGTGCAATCCACAAAATTGTTTCCCTGGTGCCTTTAGTGGAGAGTATTCTCCACAGTTGAAATTCCTTGCTCTTTATATGTTGTAAAATTATTAATATTATAGTATAGTATCTATAACTTTTGAGCAAGACTCCAGTTTTACAATGAGCTTTTTTCACCATAAGCATTTATGGAATAAAAGAAAATGCAGTTTCCTTTCCATGAACTCCTCATGGAGCCTACTACAATTTTTTTTACAGAAAAATTCTGATGTTAGTCCGCTTGGTAAAGTTTGTCTGGCAGCTATCCTCAAGAGCTGTGCTGCTGACAGGACTGCTGAGGACAGTGACATTCGAATGGAGATCGGAGTTGCTGACGTGTCACTTATGATATGGATTCCCAGTAACACATCACTGCAAATTCTCCCATAGGTTTTCAGCTAGGTTGAGATCTGATGACTGCGAAAGGTTATAGCATGTGATTCACATGATTGTTATTCTGTTAAGTGAGACCTAGAGTTTTGTATGGAAATGTCTGCATTCATTTACCTACCTGCATTGGCTAGATACCCCCAGTGTTTTTTTTGTACTTTGGGTGAACTAACCCTTTAGATATAGTGAAGGCCACAGTGTCCTTAGATCTAAGAACATATTAAGGGGACATTAAGAGAAGCACACAGATTGGTACTGAGGCCCTGGCTGATTCTCTTTAATAACCACAATGTTCCAATTGTGGATACTTGGAAACCCCAATTACAAATATAATATTCACCCCACTACCACCTGGAGTGCACTTATCAAACTTTCAGCAGGATGAGGATTTTAGAGAATGCTGACCTATATTCAGGCGGCTTTGAATGGACTAAAAAGTGAAGGGAAGGGAGAGAGAAAGAGCGGGAGAAAGGGTGCATACAAAAGAAAGGCAGAATGAGAAAGAAGGTTATTTGGGGTCAGCTGAATGCACTGAAGACAACTGAAATGACACTCAGCTAGCTGCCTCCAGTAATAGATAGTTTGCTGTTCCCTGTGCAGTTATTGTAGATGATATATGCATAATGATTCTGTAATGTGGAATGTTTGATCCGTAGCCACAGGGTAAAAGTGTTAAAGGCTTATTTGGTTGCAAAAGAGAATAATAATTCAGAGACATGTAGACATCTGAAGTCTCTCAATGTGTGCTTTTATCAGACAGAACGGTTGTGGAGGTTATGGAAAAGCCAGTTTTTGTATACGTGTGTGAGCTCCTCTGCTTCAATACAGTTGTGACAATGGATTTCAGTATTGGACCACTGTCCAGTCATTCTGGTTTCTCTCCACAGTTTTAAGAGTTAAGTATAGGTTTATATTATATTTAGATAGATTTAGATTTTAAAGATAGATTTAGATTCAGGATCAGGTTTGATGTTGGTTATATACAGTTTGCAATTAAAGACATAAGTCCCTTCAACATTTGGGAGGACCCATTGTGCTGTTAAGTATGTGATCCACTTGGAAATTGGACTCTACTTTCTCTAGCTTGCTAACCTTAGTGCTGATTCCACTGCCACAGCAGAAAAACAGATAAAAGTAAAATTTATCCTTTAAAGTAATTAAAATTTTGACCTAATAAGTAAACGGGTCATAAAAAACACAAATCGCGTATTTATATATACACTTTTTCTTCAAGTCAAGTCATTATAGTTTCGTTCACTCTTCACAATGCATTCTGCGGATTATCCAGAGTAATTTGGACACTGTTTCCAGGAAAGACACACAGCTTTTGAAATTTGGAAATGTAATTTTTAAATGCCTTGAGCACGATAAACAAAAATCCATTCACCTCCATTGTATTAGGGTTGAGGAAGAAATCTTACTGTATGTGTTATTACTTGGCCAAATAAAGCTAAAATTGTCAGCATGGCTAATCCATGAGAGGTGGAAGTGAGGAAATGTGTTTTGATCATTTCAGGGAACTGGAACCTTCAAGACTTGGTTTGTTTACTTTATAGTGTGTAAAGGCACCGTGTTTATGGGTGTGGGTATGTTTTGCGGGTGCATTTACTGTATATTACACTGATCCTTGGTTAGTAACTGAGCAGAAGGAAAAGTCGATTAGGCTGCGAAGAAGCAGCAGGGTCAAGAAACATTACACTCAATTTAAGCCATCACATCTCACACACTTAAACAACACATACACAGATGCACACATATTGCTTGAAGAATGTGTTTCTGAAGCTAAGTACATGCTGTACTGCTGCTGTATTCAACGCGGGTCCTCTAGAGTTACTTTCTCAAGTGGGATGCAGAGGGCAAGGTGTTTCTTTGAAGCCTCTGCAACACAAACATCCAATCGATAGCTGTCACTTAAAAGCGGCTCAAAGTGACTGACTACATGTGTGGTTGCTGATAATGCTGCACACTAATATGCACACGCATAGAGTGGCTCAAGCACACATACAGTATAGTATATACACACAAGCACACTGGCCGGATGACACACACGCACGTATGCACGCACGCACGCACACACACACACAGTATGTATAGACACACAAACGGTCTCTCTGAGAGGAATAAAGAGAACATGAGCTGCCATATCATATTTCCTGGTCTGGCTCTAACAGGGAGCCTGTCAAGATAAAAGGACCATCTTCAATCAGTTACTACAGGATGGTGCTATGCTACCACTGCTTCTATTTTACTGACTGTGACTGTACTTGTATGAATGTGTTTCTAAGAGGCAGGGTTCTCCCTAACATAGTCCCCCTGCGGAGGGTCTAGAACTACAGTAGATACAGCACCTTGGGCTATGCTCCCCACAAAAGTCTTCAGTGGGGAGTGGAGATAAGGGACTCAT